GGAGGAAACCTTTGTGGGAAAAGTGTACGTTTCCACAGAAAGACTCCTTGAAGATGATCTATAATTTTTTTTTAAATATATAGTGGTGGAAAACTCAATCATGTAATTTAACACATAGCTTCTGTCAAAGTGCACTAAAAGTTTTATGTGCAAAATATTTCTATAGCAGTAAAGCATCACAGGGGTGCTGAGAACCTGCAGGATACAYATTTTTTGTCTTTTTATTAGCCCTAGTTAACAGTTTTAGTAAAGCAAGATAACCATCAGTCTCACTTTTTTTTCATGACCTGTCCCTGGAGGGCGTTGGGACATGATCCTGCATCCTGACTAAAACAGAGGTAGTCTCTTCATGACAAATTAGTAAATTAATGCTTCTCTTCAGTTAACAGAAATACCAGATCTACCTCCTCCATCATCAACTGAAAGTAAACATCCACTYTGCCAACCATGATGTGTTGTGTATGACGTTGTTTGGGAAGACTCACCAGGAGTATTAAATGCTTATGAAAGAAAAAAAATAAGTGTCTCACAATTATGTGAGCAAAAACAAATGGTGTCCATCTCTCATCCCTTCTGGGGGRTCTTATAGACAAGCCGTTTATTTCAACTCTCAGATTCACACTTGTGCACCTGCAACACTGAACCGGGCCTCACACCRACTCTGTTTAAAGCCTATGCTTAAATTTAGTTAATTAGACGCAAAATTTCCTTTTCTAAAAAAATGTTTTAGATACATTTATAATCTATCTTTCAGATCCTAAAAGGTTAAATTCTCGTGTTATGCTTGTGGATTTTTTTATTCATTTATTTTACATTTTGTGAATAAAATCTCTAAAAAGGCAAACTTATTTAAATACAGTGATTTTTACAGATAAAGCTGAAATTTGATCTTTCATTCACACCACGTGCTTTCAGCTTTACATTATGAGTTATTCATCCATCCATCCATTATCTATACCCACATCTTCCTTTCAGGGGGTCACTGGTGCCCATGGCAGTCACAGTGGGAGAAGCGGGGGACACCCTGGACAGGTCGCAAGTCCATCACAGTGACGCAGAGACAAACAACCATTCACTCTCTCACAATTTAGAGTTACCAGTTAACCTTCATGTTTTTGGTCTGTGGAAGGAAGCCGGAGTGCCGGAGAAAACCCACGCATGCATGGAGAGAATATGCAAACTCTATCCAGACAGGTATCCCAGGCCAGGATTTGAACCGGCGACCTTCTCGCACTGCGCCACCATTATTTGTCATTACATGAATTTTTTCCCCCATTCATTAAAAGGTTGAACCAACACAAGTCGACCTGTGAAATAAAAAACAGCACCTCCAGCATGAAAAGGCAGCAGGTAACCATCCTTCAAGGAACGCTTGCAGATTAAAAAAATAAATAAAAATCTAAATACATGCCGCCACTGATGCGTAAACTGATCTGCAGGACTGTCGGAGGGCCAGATGTTGAACAAAACAAATCCAAATTAGTCGTCCGCTGCCCCTCCCATCTCTGACAGGCCAGAGACAAGCTGTGAAACAAGAGATAAATCAGGGACAGATTATTCAGGACACAGACACGGGGGGGGATAGAGAGCTCAGAAGGACTTGACCTTTTCTGAATATTCATGGCAGAGGAGAAAAGATTTACACCTTTTTTCCCCACAGAGCCTCAGAACAAAAGCCAGAGTGTGATTTAGTGCAAACAAATTGATCTAAAAAAATCTGGATACTCTGGCTGTCTGCCAGTCAGAAGGATCAATAACCATTAACACCAGTGTGCACACAATTTAGAGAACAGCAGGGATGTGCGGCTGTGCAGATCGCTTCATCATGACTTTAGTTACAGTAACCACATCCAGCTCCTCCTCACTGCTGCTGCTGCTGCTGAGAGCAACGCTTTCTGACTGACAATGTCATCAGCGTTCTGCATGTGTGTGTCTGTGTGTGTGTGTAAACACATCCTGCAGCCCGGAGAAAACTGGGTCATTTTCTCGCCTTGATGAGATGGAGGAGGAGGAGTCGACTGGAGACACACAGGGGCCAGAGCCGTGCTCATGTGTCAAGAGTCAGGGTGGCACATGCACACACACACTCTGCTTTTATCAGCCTCATGAATCAAAAGAACATGCCTCTGAGGGCATGGAAATCAACTGAGGAACACAGGTAGTGAAGCTGAAGTGGAGGAGGTGGGGCGAGTAATTTCTTGCTTCAGTTTGCCTCAGCGCTGAGGAAACGCTGTTCATTAATATCCAAAGCTTCAGACTCTGCGATATAACGTGCAATATTGACATTGGCTTGCATGAACACAAAGAAACAGCAACGCRGCAGGAGTTACACAGGAGATCAAGAACATAATGAGCTGCATCCCAGTGGAAATTAATGCATTCAGGTTGAGGTTTTGTCCTTAAAAYGCTCTTTTTGCTCTGAAGATACAAACACTCCATGTCTGTAATAATAAAAATGACCTGGGAYACACCTGCTTTCAGCCTGGTTGAGGTCTTTATCCACTTTTACACTGTAAGTGACAAAACAGGATGTGTTAAAAAACTAAGGTTTTCAGGTAAGGTGAAAAAAGTGAAGTTAGGGTTTTGAAATCGACACAGGAAGGTCCTAACAAAGCGAAGAGCCTGCAGCTGTCAAAGCAGATTGATAAGTACAAGCCGAAGCGCTCCGAGCCAAGTGCAAACATCAGCATGCCAACATGCTCAGTAAGTGGCAATGCCAGCATGTTGATGTAATGCAGCGTGAAACGCTTACCAAGTTCCTCCTCATCATTACTCAGTGCTCAACGTATGCATCYGAGGCCATCTTAAACAAAAGATTTTTATTAACTCCCTCCCTACCCTCTGAGGATGAGCATCTGAACTAGAAAACACTTCCACAAAACTTATAGCAATGCATCCGATGACTCAGATTCTGCATGACATCCTAAAAATAAACATTTGTTAAATGTCTTTAAAAAATTGGCCTCACTGAAATTATTTTGCATAATCTCATCCTAATTCCCTCAACCTGCAGCACGACTCCATCTTCCTGTTTATTTATCCGAGTGAGGTGATGGAGGGTTAACATCAAACGCTAATTTATTTTCAGTAAAAATGTCAAAGTTAAGCCATTACACTTTCATCTTCTGTTCTTGTACATGTGCTGACAACTGAACGCCTTGGGTTTTAGTTCTTTCGTCTACTCACTGTCATTCCCTTAAAATAATACCGGAGTTGATTTTTTTTTAAATATTTGAAGGATGCAAACTGCTTTACCAACAAAGATGAGGCTTTTGAAATGTCGCAAAACAGAAATTAAAGCAGCTCCCAAAGCAAAGCGACAGCTAAACAAAGACAAGATGAAGAGCTACAATTTCTAATTGAACCACATTTCACACAATCATACGCTGAGCCCAAAAAAGCTAAAAAGGAGTAGTCAAAAAATGAAAACAGGACATTCAGGCCATCAGCATGTGAAAAAAACAGCTGTATAAAAACAGAAAACAGGGAGAAGAACACTCTACTGCAGCGTCTCATTAACTGCATATAATGAGGATTTAAAAGCTTCAAACCAAGCTCACCTGATGACTACACAAACCTTTTGTTTCTGGTAATGACATGAGGAAAAAAGCGCCTCGGACACCATATGTTGCCATTAAGGCTTTAATCATCCTGGAGCACACGAGCAGATTGTGGGCGACGCTACAGTATGTCGTGATGCCAGGAGGAGAGGCGACAGCTGTGGAAGTGCCAACGCCAGTCAGCGGTGTCTTTACATCAGAGAGCTTCTGATTGCTCTCTTTAGACAAATGGCAGACAAACGAACTCAGCCTATGACCACCGGGATGATGGAAGTTTTAAAACTTGCCGTTTGTAACCGATAATCCTTCTAAACTCGGGCTGATTGATTTGTCTTGAACCTCACAGCTCATTCATTGAGTTAATCACAAAGATAAAGGAAGCATCCTCCCTTTCTACAGCTGATTGAGGATGTATTTTGAAGCGGGGTCAACAAGGCTTCACAGAGATCAACAATGACAAAAATCCAATTACCTCAAGAGCTCCAGCCATTCTAATGTGGGTTACTCAACACAAAGCTTTGAAATCTTTCAGTTTTCCACTTTAATTCATTACGATTCAATATGAGGCTCAACTCTAGGCTGTGTCCAAACTCAGGGGCTGCAGCCTTTGAAGGATGAATATGGATGTGCCGAAGGCTGTTCAAATTTGAAGGCTCCTCTCTAACTGCGGCCCACAAACGCATCCTCCTTTTCCCCCCAGTTTGAGYGTCCAGTGTATTCTCAACCCATCCTATCCCAATTTGGATCCAAAGTACAGTTTTCAATTCAAATCTGGTATTAAAGCAGTGGGATTGGGCAAAAATTGCATTGTGCACAAATAATTGGCAGAAAAACCTATTTTTTTAAACTTTAAAATTAATGCAATTAATGTCATGTGATGACGATGTATTAGAGRGGTGGTGGGCGACTATCAGGTGCACAAGAGCCAAATGGCGGAAGGCAGAGGAGAACTAGTGCTAACCCTACAAACTTGTTTAAAATCACATGAAACTCTTGACAAAACCAGAGTACGAGGAAAGCCAAAAAATGCTGACCAAGGCTACGTCGGCTACATGCAAATGTAGTTATCCTCTATTAATCATCATGTYGTAATTAATCATGATATTTTAGCCAATGTTGCTGAACCCTTGAATACACGCGTTTGTCAGAAATAATCATAAACGAGCTCATATGGTGTTCTTCATGTAATGCCTCCAAGCCAATTTTGTTAATTTATAACAAAAATATTGCTATTTTCAATTTTTTGGCCTATCTTTAATGTCACAGTTGCAGGACATTTGGGTGGAATAAAGCTAAAAGTTCGACCATCCAAATTCACAACCTCTATTGGTATTCCTGGTCGACAAAGGACCCGGCCCACATAAACACGGTCCTTCGAAGGACAGTCCCTGAATCTGAACACAGCCCTCATGTGCCTTAGTCATGACAACAGCTTTTAAATATTTTCAAAGTCATGTTTATTAAATTTAAAAAACACCATCTCGTTAACAGTTTCAAACAAACAGCAGGAAAAAAAACAAAAAACAAAACTGAAAGTGTAATAGGGGCCAGGGCCAACCCCTGAGTTAAAAACCATCCGTTTCAGGGCTCAWTCGTCACTACGCCTCTCTCTTCTGGAGGGTGGGGGGTGGGGGGTCACCTGCACTTAACCTGGCGTAGGCTAGAAGAGTCACGTGGTAGTTAACGCCATAAAAGGTAGAACACCAGAGGAAATGTGACGTAAGAAAACTTTGTGGACATCAGGTAGAAAAGTTGATTTGCAAAGTCAAGTTTCAAGTAAAAGGTATTTCCTGACAAAATATACCGAGTACGCAACATCAACACGTAATTAGGTTGCCAACCATGTCGCTATGTATTCACTCAGGGGTGGGGTCTCTGCACAGCTTTGGGGGACGTGGAGTTCAGGATATTTAGGGATGCAGTACAGATGTCCAAAGAAGAAGTGCAAACAATGTCTATAAGGTGTGTTTGTTGAGTAGATTAAGGAAAAGGGGCAGGGTTAAGGGGGTATGAGCAAACRGGGCCACCCCCCTCTATACTCATCAAGGTGCTGAGAGGGGGGACTCTCTGGAGGGCGAGCCCGACATGTCATCAGGGGGGAAAACTGTGAGCGTGCAGGCTCTGATCCCGCCTAGCGACTCGGGCAAGTCAAAAACTTTCTGCCACTCGTCTTTCTCCGGGTCGTATTTCTGTACGATTTCCACCATGCAGCGATTGTTCCATGAGTAGCCCCCCACCACGTAGATTTTATTCTCAAACACGGCCACGCCCACATCGCTCTGGCCTCGCAGCATGGCAGCGATGGGAGTCCACAAGTCCAGGGCGGGGGAGTAGTACTCGCAGCTGAGCACGTCGTCGTAGTCGCTGGTGCCGCGGAAGTGATTGCCCCCGATCACGTAGAGCCGGTCGCCCACCGTGCACATGCAGTGGAGGCCGCGCACCGTCGTCATGGCCGCCTTCTGAGTCCATTTATCCGCGTCGGGGTCGAAGCACATCAGCTCCTTCTGGAACGTGTCGTGAGTGATTCCCCCTGCGGCCAGAAGAAAAGAACGGGAAAATTAGCCTTGACGACGATCAGTTAGTGGGCAGAAAACTCGTCAAKCAGATTGAGTCATTCCTGCGTGTCGACATCATCTAAGCCATGCAGTAGCTCTAGGCTCAAGTTTTAAAACTCATCTGATTGTTGTGTTTCATGTTCASCCACCAATACACCAGATTAAACACTAATTATACAAACTAGAGCTATATCAGTGGTTGCTCAGCYGCTTCCTGACTGTGAAATAATACTGATTATGAGCACTGGATACAAAGTGGAACATCACCACAAAACCTCTTAACATATGCACAAACAGACTGGAGACACCGGGACACAAGAACAGGGAGGGGGGAAAAAATTAAATACAGGACATGTCTACAGGGAAGGCTTAAAATAAAGAGGAACACAATCCCAGCATGCATTTGGGTGAAAGCCAGCCCGCCCTCCCCTCCCCCCCCCAGGTGGAGTAACGGAGCAAACGCTGTACAGATTTGCAGAGCGTGCCGCGTACAGGCAGAATCCCTCTTTAAGTGCTGCCGAGTGACTGTGGGCTCGGTTTATTGTTGAGGACTAAGCTGTGTATTCAGCAGCCATGACTCAGATCTGGGAGGCTGCACCTTCTTTATCTGATCAAAGATAGCCCAACTACCTGTTTTTCTTTATCCACGAATCGTATGAAACAAGGGTGCTTTTTAAATCCTGACAAGAGAACAGCACCGGAGTCAAAGCAGGGCTGTGGTAATCTCTCCCAAAGGGGCTACGTTTCTCTTGTTTCGTTTTTTTTTTTTTTTGGCCTTCATTTTTCCTCCTGATAAAGCATCGTCTGATCAACCTCCCGGTATCACAATCACTAATCGGAGCCATTAGTGGGACAGTAAGAGGGCAGGTTTTTGCCAAGCCGATTTAATCTTCCACAGACGGACTAAAAGCCTTTGCCCTTCATTAGACAGCACAGCACAAACTGGTGTTATTGTTTAGGTTCTTAATGCCATGTGTGCCCGCACGCTTCCATTTACAAAACATTTTTACAGCCATGTAGGTGCTAAATATTTGCAGTCGTCTTGTGGAAGCGGTGAGCTGGGTGAATCTGTGCTGGCACGTGTGGGACCGAGGGGGGGGCGAGACGGAACGTAGGAGGTTCAGCCGTTTCTACAAACGACCCATATTGATCAGGTGTGCTCGGACAGAAGATACTGGATCTTGGTCCTATTTCCTTGAGGTGTTTCACACCAGAGATGCAGGAAATATTGATCAGGTTCACTGTAGGAAGGCCGGGGGAACATATAGATTGACATCAGCACATAAAGCTGTGTGGATGATGAAAGTGACAGAATAAACTCTGTTCTCTCTCCACTGGAAACCCTGCAGAAAGATGCAAGTTAGAGCGCGCAGGAGGCAAAGATATGATGCAAACCTGGGTTCATTTAATGCCAATGTTGGCGTTCTCGCATGCACTCCTCTTGGAATAATTCTAGAAAAACTTCAGGATTAAAAGGGTGACAAAAAAGCTGCATGTCTTTGTAACAAGCCGCTTTAATTCCTGATGTCATATTAATTTCACAGCCTTCTGACACATCAGACTTAACATGACATCTAAAATTCCCACCCATGATGAGTAAAGYACCTCAATCCACTTTTACACTTTATTTTTAGGTTTGTTAGAAAGAAAAACCTACTATCTACACTTGTCACCGTTTTGGGAAATATTGTGTCCAATTATTTTTTCTTTACAAGTAAAGAACTTTATTTTGTGCTTCCCCCTGAAGTAGACTTACTTTAAGAAGAAATGACTAATAAGTGTCATACCAGCAGTAGATTTAACCAGAGTGGTCTTGATTTTGAGAATCAAGCAGAATTTCTTCCTTAAAGCTACTTGAAAAGCCCAATTAAAAGCAAATTTCAGCTTTTAAAAAACAACTCCAATTTTCTAGTTTGATTAAGTTTAAACATTTTTATAATTCATCACATGTGCCAGTAAACCCAAATAAAGAAATGAAATGAAAAAGCCTTTAGGGGTTGTTTGAAATGCTGCCCCTATAGGTCTACTGGTGAAAGCAGTGATATTTTTGCTCATGGCTGTGGGTTAACTTGCCGTGATGGAAAAATCTCGTGAATCGTTTGATGGATTTTAATGAAACTCTCAAAGTGTTTACTAAATATACGGCTGTAAATTGATTAATTTATCTTAAATATTCAAGATGGATGAAATAGTTCATTGGCTTTAGTCAAAACAAAAATGGCTTCAACTCAGTTCAGTTTTACAGATACTGAGCAAAATTTTTCGTGGCAGTCATTCACATCTACTAAAGTCTTATTAGGGAAAACACATACCTGTCTATATGGTCTAGAGAAAAAAAAAGAGTCCCAAAACATAAATAAAAACTTTGCTAAACTTGGCTTTCCCTTGGAGTACACTGGCCTCCATAATTCTGAGATGTAAAGTCATTTGGAACAACCAAGACTTGTCCTATATCTTGTCAACTAACTGAGCCACAGGGGAAGAAGGAGCTGTGTTAAACAGAACAAGAACTCTTGGTGCCTTCTACCAAAGTTCAGAGAAAATTTGTAGAAAGTCAGAAAAAAAGTCCCCAAATGAAGTCGTCTGTACAACATTTCACTGTGGACTGACTTTGATAAGTCTCAGACATTCTCAGCTTTATTTACATCTGGAATAATCTTTCTGCACTTTTAAAACTCATCTCTGCAGAAGAGATCAGAAGCTGAAATTTTCAATATCAGAACTTATCAGCAAATCATGGTGGCAAAACTCTAATTTGTTCAAGAGCAAGTCGGGATGTGGGAGAGCTCATCTTCGAACTTTGAGTGGTTCGAGCAGACTGCTTGCCTTGAAGCCAATTAAAAATCCAGGAAAATGTTGATGGACTGACAACCCCCCATCCAAACGGACAAAAGCTCAAGGGCATTTTCAGGGAAAAAAAAGGCACAAAAATCCTCAAATCCAGGTGTGCAAAGCTTGTCACATCATGCCCTGAAAAGGTGAAAGCATTGAAAGCTGCCAAAGGTAATTTAACCAGTTGCGCAAACAGGTCTGAAGGTTTGTGTTTAAGTTTTATGGATTCTCATCAAGTTATAGCAAAAAAATAAATAAATATACAGAATCAGCATTTGAAGACCAGCAGATGTGATCCGTGAAAAGCTCATAGTTGTGTAAAAAAAGGTTATGATTTCTCCAAAACATTTAAAATGGATCCATCTACCCACATAAATGCAAATAAACACACACACACACACACGTCAGAGGAAGTACTTTAGGTCCAGGATGCTGTTGTTTAGCTTTTCATAATTGTGTCTAAACCTTGCCAGGCCACTTCAGCTGTGATGGGCTGTGGGCTGAGTGCATTTGTCAGGTTCATCCAGCTGACAGGATACTACCAGACAGCGCAGCAGCGCAGACGGACAAAGTGACCCGATGTGCTGAGACAGACAGACACACACAGAACTACACTTCAGCACGGGTCACCTTGCACTCTAAGACTGTAACCCCTGAGACGGCGAGGCCTCCCAGCAACAAAACTCTGAATGGGTACCGCTCTGTTCCCTTTTTAATTCAAGCTAACATTTCACACGAGCCGCATGACTCCTTAAACAGCTGAAATCATATAACTGCACGACCAGCTTTAAAACAGCAACACAACTGTCCGTTTTTAACTCGCGCCTATTTTTAGAACGCGCAGGTGCAAAGACGGCTGTTACAAAAGCAAAATTTACAAGACTACTGACCTGAATCTCTTAAATAAAGCCCTATTTTTAGCTAAGAAAAAAWTCAAATAGGAGCAATGAACAGCAGGTCCAGAAGAGCTCAGCAATAAGGAAAATTATCAACGCAGAAGTTACAGCAAATCTGACTTTATACTTTTACTAAAGTGAAATTAAGAATAAAAAAAAACTTCATCTGGACCAACTACATTTTCTGGTCTGTCAAGCAAATTACCTAATGAAACTTTTTTTTTTAGTTTTTTTTTTAGCACTGCAATCCCCCAGCAAGTCAGAGTTGGTTCATTTAAGACTAAATTGAAAAAGGGCAACTCACTGTGACTCAGTTTCTTGCAGAGCTCCTTTTTTGTGCCAGCAAGTCAAATGCTAATGATGGCTACTGAAAAGGAGTGGGATTGCAGAAATGATAAATGCTTTGATTCTTTTTTTTCTCTTTTCAGATCATCACACATGAGCCTTCAGGTCAGATCTTGAGTAAAGTTTGTAATTTGAGCAAATGAGTGAAAAAAAAAGGTTTTGATTATGAACTAAAAAGTTATAAAACATGGCTGTCATGTACAATTTATCACTTACAAACCAAACTACATGTGTATTTTAATAAACATTAACTCATTGCGTTAATGTGGGCACTCTAAATCATATTCAATTGACCTGCTTTGTGCTTTTTTAAAATTTGTATAAATCTAATATGATTTTTCCATTTACAGTCAGTGTCAAATTCACAACATGCATAAAAACAATACTCACTGGTAAGAATCAACTACCCATCTCATCTTCTCACTCCTCTTCTGGGAGATTTTAGTATGTTTTTTTTGTTAAACTGTTTATTGTTCATATATTGCACAAGGATGATTGTTCCTATGACTAGGAGGGATTAACAATGTCTGTTCTGTGTTACACCTCCTACACAGGCTTCAGTCCTCTACTTTGCTCTATCCTTCCTGATTCCCCATTCACCGCCACCACAACCAGCCTTCCCCTCCTTTTGTAGCATCGCTCGCTCCGGATTAGTTACACTGGGAAACTAAGGCTCATCTCCATGCCGCAGGATTTGTTTTTAGTCGCTGGAACGAGTCGCTTTAAAAAAACTATAATAAAAAGTCACAACCTAAAAGGCTCAATTTCTGTGTCTAGAGTGTGATTTTAGCACAAGACCCTCACAAGCTTCAAAGCATGCTCAGGACAAACTAATCATGGTTGTGAGGAGTAATTTGGGAAGCAAAGCGGGACTCTGGCAGACGCTCTTCAAGATGTAAAACATTTAGAAGATTTGACATTACCAGACTGTCAGAAGTCTAGAGTCATAAATCCCTCTATCAAACTAAATGAACCACTCTGGAAGCTGTAGGGGGGCGGGGCATAAAACGCTTCATTTGGATTTAAAGACACAGTCTCAAAATGAGTTGATCTGAGACATGAATCAGAAAAAGGGGTGAAAGAGGGGCTTGGAGTTACAATAAGAAGGAATTCAGAACAAAGCTTCACAGTTCCACTTTATATAGACCTGCTGAATGACAGAAATGTGGAAAAAAAGAGGATTTAAAAGCATCATATGTCTCCTTTAAATCGAGTTGAGAAAAATTCCAGATTCAACTCAACATGATGTCAATAAATTTCACATTTGCTACATAACTCAAGTGGCCCCTCAGCTGCTTCATTACTTACCTGAAATGTACATATAACCACCATACACCGTCCCAGCATGGCCATAATGTGGTTCATTCATTTTAGCAACATACGTCCATTCATTTGTCCTTGGGTTGTAGCACTCCACAGTAGCTTAAAAAGAAGAAAAATAAATAAATAAGGACTATTAGTAGAAAGTAGGTCAAGACACAACTAAGGAGGACAAACAGCAGCAAATGAGGCCTTGGAGGGTCTTGGTGTGGGATCTGAAAACAGATTTAAATACAGTAAACATGCCCACAACCCCACCAGCAACTACTGCGCAGGAAATGGGGCGATTGTTAGGACCTTTTTCCTAATGTGCCTAAAGATGGCTTTGCATAAAAAAATAAAAATCTGAGAGAACCAAAAACAGACAATGGGATTCATGAGTGATGATCATAGGCAGGCRATTTGGGTTTTTGTTATGACTCTTTAACAAGCAGTCAGCATGCATCAGCTCTACAGTTACTGAGCTCTGAACAAGTTCGACAAGCAGCTGTAGTAAACCAATTTATCAATAGCTCTTCATCTCATGGAAACAAGCCTACAAATGGCACGCATGCATAAAATAAATAAAATAAAGCACAATTGCACATTTTACTTGGAAACTGCTGGAGCATAAACAAGTTCTCTTGTTGTTTGGAAACCTTTAATTACGGGATTAAATGCACTTCATTTTTACCTGCCACAAGCCTGGAGACGACACGAGGCACAAAGCATTTTGTTTTCATACCATGCAGTTAGTAATTTAATTGAACTGATTAATAGTGTGCCAAGACAATGAAACACTGCACTCTAAAAATGTTTGGTTACGTCAATGATTAACAATTTCACAGACATTTACTCTTTCAAAATAAACACTAATTTTGTAGTTAATTAAAAGCATCCAATGGGAACTAAGTCATACATTAAGTAACACCTATTAAATTATATTAGAAATAGCTAAAGACTGAATAGGTGCAAATGTTTAATTTTACAAATATACTTAGATTTCCTTGTTGTTAGAAAAGGTCACATTTTAAATCAAACAGGGAATTTTATACCATTTGTTGCTTCAAAAACATTTGTTCTCTTATTTTAAACAAATAAATTCAAAGTTGTCAGAGACGCAACGTGTGATCATTAAAACAGAAATCTGTGTCTTTGCATTGTTAAGATAAGCTTCCTGTTTTGAATCCAGGCATTCCAGATGAGACAATAAAACTGCACCCCTATGACCCGTTCACAGAGAGCAAACATGACTGAGGAAGAGGAGGAGGAGCACATCCAGAAATACTTCAGGACTGAACCACATGCAGCGCAGAGGCAGTGGAACGTAAAGCTGAAGGAAAAAAATTAAATAAATTTAAAAAAAGTGAAGCAGTTGTGTAGACGGGCGGTGAAYTGAGGCTGTGTTCTTTGTTCTAATTATAATCCAAAAATAGAAGACAGCTCCTCTGCCCGTGTCTGCTGAAGATATATGGCTGAATTTAAGTATTGGGTGGTAGCTCTCTGTGGTTTACAGTTAYGGGTGCAGAGGTTCCAGACTGATTACTCAACAACAGACT